CCCCCAAAACCCCAAAACCCCAAAACCCCTTAAGGGAGAGGAATATTGAAAATTATTTATCCATATCTCTCGTTTGTTTTGGTTGACACTGTTATACCTTGAAGAATCTTGGCCTTGGTAACTTAACTGGCGTTATAAATGAGCTTTTATGGTTAGGTGTTTTGTTCTTGTCATCTATGAAATTTTCAACAGGCTCTGGGAAGGTTCCTTGAGCAGAGTCTGTTTGGACAGACACATTAGGATCCCTCAGCTTGATGTTTTGATACCTAATCCCTTTTAACTTTTGCTTCTACCAATTATAGCTCTAAAATACCTTTATAAATGAGATTTTCAGAAGAGAATCTATCTTTTTTCTACTAATTTTCTCATTTTTGAAAATTTTAGAGAACTTGGCCTTTGATTCCTCATTTTGGACCTTTAACAACCGGCTGGTATTGGCCATATGATATCCTGTAACATTCAGACTCCAAATTCCGTTATTCCGTTTAGAATACAAGTTATTTACCAACTAGAGGTAACAGTCTAGCATACCTGGAGTAACGGAGGTGACATGAGAGATGTTGGGTCGAGAATTTGCTAAGGTTCTGCTCGAGCTATCCGGACTCACTTGGTGATGCCTTATCGGCTTAATACTCTTTGGTTTGTACCTTCCAGTATTTGGATGCCCTTCCTTTGAGTTAGTTAGTAATCTCACTTTTATACTTGGGAAGTTTGAAGTTCTTGGTGTAGCATGAAGCATGGAGAAAGAAGTCTTAGGAGTAAATTTCTGGGCTAGTTTTAGAGTAGAGGGCTTTGAGTCTATTTTTCTGGGCTCTCCTGTTAGCACTAATGTATTCTTTAACACATCATTTGGCCTTTTAGGTGAAAATATAGAGATGAAAGAATTAAAATTATGCTGTTTTGATAAACTACTCCTAAGTTTTTCTGCAATTTTGGTCATTCTTAACTTCCTTCCCTGGTGATAGCCCACACCAGGTTTATTTATCTGGGAGATTCTGTGATCTAACATAGATTAACCACCTGAATTATATCTCAACTCCCAAGTCCCAGTCAAATTCCGTACCTATACAACTCTCTGCTTGTCTTTCTTGTCTTTCTCTTAATCTTTATCCTTGGAGTTGACCTAAAATTGCTATCTGGCTGGCTGTTCATTTCTATCATACTATGCTAAATTTCTCAATAATTATATAGTTCTAAGGGGTTTTGGGGTTTTGGGGTTTTGGGGTTTTGGGG